TCACCGGCCCGGGCTCACCTGCCTCCTCTCCAGCCGCTCTTGGCTGGAACCGCCGCCGCGCCTCCCGCCTCGGTGGTTGGAGTCAGCGCTCGCCTGCGAGCGGCGGCTTTCGTCCCTTCCTTGCCTGCCCGCCTGCTGCCGCGGCAGATCCGCCCACTTGACGCCCGGGGAGGGTGGCAGGAGCGAAGCCCGCCCGCCGCTGGCGCTCTGGCCAAGTCCAGGAGTCGCCCCGGGAAGGAGGGTCCGGGCGGGACTCAGGCGCTGCAGCGACTCCTTTTCTGGCCGATCGCCGGCCGACGGTCCGCGATTCTGGTCTTCCCCCTGCGGCGGATGGGCGCGAGGCTTTTAAGAACGTGAAGATGCAGACTGTATGGCGCTGCGCCCGCGTTTCTGGTGATTGCCTGCAACGCTTTTCTTCACACGTGTACCTGTAATGTTCGCAGGCACAGCTCACTTGTGCAGGTCGATGCAGGTGATAATGGAATAGACGCTGCCTTCCATGAGGTTACCCTAGATCCGCCTGGTCTCCCAAAGGACCCCCTCCTGACCTGCGCCAGGAGCATTGGCAGGATTCTACCATCTTATCCTTTGGATGTGTAGCCCACATTCCCTGCAGGAGCCCTGAGAGGTATTCAGAGCAACCTTCGGTCCCCCAATTCTCTGCAACCATCGGGCCTTGTGACTGGCCCAAAGCCACCCAGGGAGCTTTCCTGGCTGAGGGTGGGGGACTTGCATCAGTCCTATTCTGGCATCTTACGCCTCTCCACCACACTAGCCTTGCTAGGGACACTAGCTAAGGCTGATGGGGGTTGTAACCTGGGAGGCAGCAGGTGGCAGGAAGGCTGGATCTTTTTGACAATGGCTTTGCTGAGTCACAAGCAGAAATGTTCTAGGCAGAGATGCCCAGACTTTAACTTGGCATCTTGTAAGTTCAAAATGAGGGCTTGCCCATTGATAAATGAGGTTCTTAGCCAGCTGAATATAATAAGCTGGGCAAGCATGATGGTGTAAACCCAAATGAAATCTCTGTGTGTGCCACTCTTTCATACATACACAAGTTATTGTTGAGGGTGCATTCATCAAGAGGTAAAAATAGGTGAAACAGGAATGTTTGAGAAACAAAGATAATCTTGGCTGCTTTGTTCTATTAATATATGATAAAGTCCAATACTTTCTTGCACTCACATGTCTGGGTGAAGACACTGTGAGTTTTCCGACTAGATCATTGTAATTCAGGAAAAAAATGCCTGTTGGGCCTACAGAAGGTTAAAGGTCCAGCTCTGGTCAAAAGTCTTGAGTGAATGGAGGCCCTTTGACTATGTTCATAGAGAAAATTAAATCACCAAACAATCACACAAACTGCATTCACATAACACACTGAATCACAAACTAGATCATATTTTTTTCCTAATCAGTGGGTTTTCACTGGGCATAAAGTGGTGGGTGCTCTAATTGCAGCAAAGCCAACTTTTCTTGGGACACGACTCCCAGCGCCACAGAGCTCTGAAACCTTTACACCTAAAGCACAACTTTCTCTCCTGAAGCACAAGACTACGTACATGGGATTAATGTGGGTCTTTGAATACAGAGTGATGCAACCAGGTTCTAATTTTCTCATTCTGATCTCTGAAATTTAAGAATTAGATACATGGACAAAATAGGAATCAAACCGACAAACATAGGATTCTTGGTCTGATAATGTTACTTGTGAAAAAATCTTGGAAGCAGTGGTTGAATACTCTTTGGTTAGTCAACTCTTTGGTTAGGGTCCACCTCGTGTATCATGTCCATTTCTGGGCACTCTGCATGCCTTTAGTTAAGAAACTAAAATGTGGTTGGGATATCACTTTGTGAATGTATCTTTAAAAAAGGACCCCTGCCTAGAACTTAACACTCTTTTACCATCAATTAAAATACAGCATTCTTTACTCTTAATCCCATCCTCCCTCCCTCCCTCTCTTTCTCTCTCACACACACACCTTTTACAATGTGGAAGACTATCTTCCCACTGAAGATCCTGAAGAGGCTGCTTTATGTCAGATCATATAGCAACTCTCTGGGGTAGGTTTTTCGTAGCACCTGATTACCCCACTCCTGACCAGTAAAATAGGATTTACTAACTGACAGTCTATGCAATTTCTGCTCTCTGACATTCATCCTGAAATAACATGCAAGGTAGCCAGGTTTTGTGTGGTGGCGTGCAAAATCAGGCAAAGGATAATTAAGAGCAACTGATTTTTATGCTACCATTTTAGAATTTATACTGTACTGCTCTGATTGTTAACTTTAATTCCTTTTCTCTTTTGTTGCACACTGGAGCAAGCATCTTAGCATTCTCTTTTTAATATTGTTTTTAGTCAAAATTCTTTGTATTTCACCTAGCTATTCTGATCTTATCAATTAAACTTTGCATATTCACATATTGATTTCTTTTGTGCTGGTTAATAATGACTGCAGTAAAGTCTTCTAGTTTCATATCACCTGATGCAAGATCTTCTTAACTGGGAAAGCCAAAATGGCTTCAGTCTGACATCCCTCCCCAAGAGAAGCCCAGTTCCTTGTGTCCTGGATGTGTGTTCTCTTTGAAATGTCCTCCTGTAGCAGTGACTCATGCAGAGACACAATATGGTAAATACATTAAAATTACACGGAACATAGTTCAGATAAGACATCAAGAAGAACTTCCTGACTGTACAAGCTTCACTAGAGGTCTTCAGACAATGACTAGAGGATTATCTGTCAGAGATGTGAGTGAGTGAATCCTGCCCTGATGTTGAACCAGATGACCTGTAAGATCCCATCAAACTGCAGTTCTATACAGACTTCTGTAAGGCAGAATTCAGCTGCAGAATTTGTATAAGGCATGACTAAATCATGTGGATCATAGCTGATACAGAGACATGAAAGAAATGACAACAACTAGCCTCCAATGAGCGGAGGGTGTTTGCCTACTTCCAAAGGCAGAGCAATAAATCATGTAGACATAGAACAAGAACCTTGCTGGTGGCTGGGTGCCAAGGCCTTTCATGATTTATTCCTCATGGCCCATGAGCCATTCTATTACAGAATGAATGAAATTACTACTTTACGAAACCATCGAACTAGCTGGCTTCCTTGCCTTGAAGACTCCACAAGCACCAACTATATTTTTTTAATATAATGTTTAAAAAGATCCAAGGGGAACATACACCACTTTGCAGCTCTTTATACTTAGACAATCAAGTAATTGTTAGAGGAATTTCTGACATCTCAACAGCTAGCTATATATAGTAAACCTATCGCTTCTCACAAGGACTCCTTCCTGTGACAGCCAATATTATTTTTTTCATATTATTTTGTCATTGTTACAAAATTTAGTATGCTTATTCTTTACAACCACATGGCAAAAAGCTTGGCTGCCAACTGGACATGAAGCTGCAGTCAATCTTGGTTCTCTCAGGGTTTTTTAGAATACAAACCTTCCAAATTCACATTCAGCTGTAATACGCAGCACACAAAAACATTCACAGATCTGCTTCTTAAAATAGTTATATGGCTGCCACTCAGTATGCAACTGTGTGGCTACTAATCCATATGGCCATTTAAGATACCACGTGGAAGTGAGATAATATGCAACAAATATTATTTATATGACACCATCAAAATGCACAGCATTGTGCAACCTATCAAAGAAAAAAGGATGGATAACAGTGATCAAAGGACGCTTTCCACCTAAAATCAGATCTAGATCAAAGTATCAGAAAATTGTGCCAAAAGATGGGAGGACAAAAGTGGGGGAAGAATGTTTTGAGTTCAGTAATATATAAAACTGCCTTAAACTACATTAGGGTATCTATTTAAATCACTGTTGTTTGCTCCATCAGGCAACAATTCTGGGCAAGTCATGCGAAAAAGCTTTTCTGTTATGTATGATCTAAACTTTTAAACTAGTGATGCCAGAAACTCAGCTTGGGACTTCTGCAAGCAAAGTTAAAGTCTTCTCCAGAATGGGAGTGCTGATTAGAGCAACATTCCTAAATCTGTCCACCTAGGCCTTGTGATACTTGTCATTCAACCTATCTAGGGAGCACCAGGATGGGGAAGGTGGGGCTAAAGTATACAGAGGTGAGTTTTGAAGAGTTCAGAAAAAGAGAGAGGTGCAAGATATCATTAATAATCTCTTTAAAGAAAGAGTGGTGCAGTAAATATCGCATCCAAACATACATCAAAACATGGCATATTTTGGCCCTTTTATTTTCCTTCCCACCGCAACTTCCTTATAAACAAAGGATTACGCTTTAAATCCAGCCATTGTGGTGCATTGCAGATACAATCCCTCCCCTTCCCCCCCTCGAATACCCAGCTCTGCCCAGAAAAGTAAGAGAACTCACCAAGTTCCTCTACATTAATCACAAGTGTGCTCAAGAGCTTTTCAAGGACATCACTGTTTATTTCTGTTAATTACAAATCTGGCAGCAAATACATTTTACATTTTCACATTCCAAAGTGATCCGTATGTAAATGGGTATGTGCATATAGCTATCCACTTTCAATTCGGAAGAATTGCTTTGGGTCTCTCCTGAGCCCAGCAGTGTTCTCCTACTTGTTAAAGAACGCAACTTTCGTCAGGCTTTTGCCCAAGCTTGGAAGAAAGATACCCGAGGTGCTGCTGCTGCTTGAAGGAATCCACTTATTGAAGTTGAGGCAACAAAAATGCTGGGCTGCTTTCAGGGGTGTCCACAGAGTAGACACAAAGTCAAGACAGAGGCCATGACAGTGCAAAGGAAGCTGTTTCATTTTTATGTGCATTGCAAAAACAAGCAGAGCTTCAACTGCACCATTGTGGCCACCATCTTGACCTTTTCGACCACTCTCTGTGGACATCTCTGGATTCTTTAATGAATAGCCGAGAGATGCTGCACTCATGTAAGATCCAAAGTGCTTATTTTGAAGAACACACAGCTGTAATATATAGGGACTGGGAAGATTTTGCTACTTCATTTGCTCATTTGGAAAAAAAATACAAAAACAGCATAAAATCATCACCTTTCCTTTGGGATGCTGAGAAGCTATTCAAACGTCATCCAAAGGAACCTCTCCATCTTCTAGGTCTTGTGAGGAGGCTCCCATCCCCCCACAAACGGGAGTGCCAAAAGAGCATCAGATGCAAAGTTTTTGGATTGACTTCACATTTTTTAAAAATCAGAGCTGTCCCTAAGTTCTCTATAGCATGCCAACAAAAATAGCGAGAGTATCATCCAATATGGGACTCTTAAAAGTCAGGATAGGTACTTCAAAAATAGGAGTAACCCAATCACAGATACACACAAACCTTTGCATAACAGTAAAACAGAAGGGAAGAACAGACTTCCCTCCAAAAACCCTGCAGGGTTTGAGTGAAGTGCCATTCCTTGAAGGGTTAAACAACCAGGTCCATTGAACAGCTTTTTCACATGCTTCCTGTGGTTTTTTCCACTTGGATGTACAGGCATCTCCCCTTGCTAGTGGTCCTAGCACTAGTGTTGCTTGTGCATTCACACACCTGAAGAAACCATTCCACACCATTATGCTGAGCCTTTTGGGAGGGCACAGGTGCTTTAATGCTTCAGAGCATTTAATTCTCTTAACACTTTGGTAGGGTGCTTCACTCATAGCAATGTATTTTGCAAAGCGTCCCTTTCGAAAGCTTTGCACGATGGCAGTCCATAATGTCATTGTCAATTAAAAGTTAGCAAAATAGTGTTAAGTGTTGGAATCTAAATGTCCCCCCCATTCCCAGAGTGTGAAGCATGCAAAGGGGCCCATTTTGCACCAGAGGTCCCTACAATCAAAACAGGAAGCCATATACTGACTGTCCAAGTCCATTGTTCCCAACCATCATTGCTGTCCAAGAATAAGGGGGGGGGGGCTTCAATAAGTTTCCCCCTCTGGACCAGAACTCGGGGCTTCTAACTGTGATGGCAGTTTTTGAAGCAGTCCAGAATTAAGTACAACAGCCGGAAAGCCATTTTATCTTATCTTATCTTATGCAAATTTTGGGGCAGTTCAAGCAAATACTGCCATAGTATAATTAAATCCAATAAATCCCAAGAGTTCTCTGCAGTTTGCTACTTTGGCTGATTGGCAACCAAGCTGCAAGATTACTATCTTGTCTGGTTATGATCTGCATCAAATTTGTGTCAGTATTTACTGGAAAAAGCAATATATTTAGTAAAAAATATATTAACTTTAAAGCAGCAGGGGAAAATAGAATTTGGGTTTCAACCAAGAATGTATTTATTCCTTCAGCTGTCACGAGGGAGATCTGGTCTCCTCACACAAAAGCAAGAGACACTGTGCCTATGTATCCACTGAGTGAGAAACTATATACTGAAAAAGGTGTGTGCCCAGCAAGCATTGCATGAAGGATGCAGCAGTTCTGTCACAGAAGGATAGGAGATGCTGTCACTGAAGGCAGTTCAGCAACACAATCCCTCACTAACTTTTGTTCATGGTTGGAACTGGTTGTGTGCATCACCATAGGCTTGAACCACTTGTGATTCATAAAGCCAGTTGTATCCCTGTCAACCTGCCAACCTGATTGATGTCTATATTTTTTCGGTCCAAAATAGGAAAAGTTTTATTAAACATTCTTCAGGGTTTCCATCTCTCTTTGCTTTTAGGAAGGCTGAACATATGTGAGACCTGCATTTGGAACAGGACTTCTGCTCAAGAGACAATGAAGACGATAGACGCATATATAACTCTATGAAGCTGCAGTTATAGAACCAGTTTTATCTCTTGCCTTCTCCCATGTGGTATTTCTGTAGACAGATTGGCTACAGCCCCCATTTTATTTATTTGAAAATTTTATATGACCACCTATATTATATAAAACAAGCCTAGTGCCCACCAAGCCCACAAATAATAAAAACACAAGATTAAAGCTCTAGTGCACCATCAGAGCCTAACAGTACCCTCTCAAAAACACAAAACAAATGTATATTATACCCAGCCAGCTATTTCCACTGGACTACAGCTCCTACCAGTCAGCTATTATCATTCTGGCTGGGGATGATGAGACCTCTTCCTGAACACATCTGGAGGGCCAAAATTCTCCAGGGTCTTAAAAGCAAAGATTTTCCAGACCTACCATCAGAATCTATTTAACTGGACGTGCCAGATGTAGACTTTTTTATCCAAAGCATCTATCTGCCTCTCTCCCATCATTTCTGCTGCCTCGTAAGATCCAACAGAGTGGACATGCTTTAGGTCCCATCCATTTGGCCCGATAATCTGATGTCTGATCCTACCCTTCTGTGCCTGCCCCCTGGAATAAGTATCCCCTCAGAAGTTAAAACTGTCCTAACCCTGCAATCCTTTAAACAATCCTTGAAAATCTGTTTGTTTCCCCAAGCTCTGGGATGGGTCAGGATGTATCCACCTGGAGAGTACTTTCTGTATCAGTTACGGCATACGACGTTCCCCCTGTTTTTTGTTTTGGTTTTATGCATTGGGTTTGATTTTTAATTTGTATGCTGTTCAGAATCAGCACTGAGCTGGGCAGTCTTACAAATCTAAATTATGAATAAATAGGAAAAATCTTGGGAAGGGTAAAAAATGCAATATACAAAAGGGATTTTTTTTTTCAGTAGCAAAGACAGGAGGTGTCCTCTCCCGAACAGCTCACGCGACGTCACCAAAATTAAGCATCAAAATGGCCAAATCTGTTTGGGGAACTTCTAAAAATAGAGATTGGTAGATAGCATATACTGAAGTAATTGATTAATTAATGAAGTTAAAATTAAAGTCTTTGACCAGAAAAGTCCCTTTCATCAATTGACCAGATTTTAAACAGAACAAAATATTTTTTAAACAAAAATGTCTTTAAAACCTTGAAAACCTGATTTCAGTGAATGAATTCAAAGTAGGATTAAGTTTAGATTTCACCCAAACATGGCAAGATACAACAGATGCACTTATGTTTCAGACTGAGTGCCTCTTCCAAGACAGTGCCTGTTACAATACTCATGTAACATCTAAAAATATATGCTTTTTGCTTAATTGTTTACTCATGTAAAATGTAATAGATTTACTAAAAGTTGCATGATTAATAATTAAAATGTATTTAATTAGGTTGCATCCAAAGTTAAAACCATACATTTTTTAATAACTAATACAGGGCCATGCTGTGAACCTCTTTTAAAAAGTGTCAGTGTTAAAAATATAGACTTTCATTTGCTACAACTAAAAAGCAGATCACCTTTTAAAATTACAGTATTAAGATTTGTTTAAAAAACATAAGAGTTTAAATTGTTTCTAAAGACTTCTGGAAACCATGGAGATCTTATTCCACTTTTGTCAAAATGAGATTCCCCAATATCTAAAAAAGAAAAAAAAATGTTATTAGTCTAACAAGAATGGAAATCACAATGAATGAATCCTACACAATTTAATCTGTTATGCTATAAAAGTCAATGATAACATAATTTACTCAACAGCTGGAAACAAAAAAAACAAAAAAAAAGGAAAATATTTCCACTTATGTTGTCCAAAAATTATCTTAAGTCTCCCTTAATATAAAACTTGGAGGATCCACATTGATTAATATCTGATGTCTTCATGTCTTTATACCAGTGACTACCAAAGGAAGGATTACAAATGCTGTCACAATAATGGAGGGGCAGACAAACTTTTGACAGCCAAGGTTCATGTTTTTATTTTTATTGAGTTCGTATGGCTGAGACTTCCAGTGTTTTTCCTCTAGTGTTTTGTCAAGAGAAGCCAGTTTGGAAAGTGTATTTTGGGTGTGGTTAGACCTAAATGAAGACTGAGAACTTAGTTTCCTGTACTTTTCCCACTGAAAAAATGGGAAATCACATGCTATTTCTTGAACAGGTGTCACCAAAGCTCAGTGATGTGATTTCTGGGACCCATCTCCAAAAAGGGTTGGGAACCACAGACTGCCCAAAAGCAATAGAAATTATCTTTTCCATTGCATGAAATAACAATTCTTCACATTGTTCAGACTACTTTTCCTGCTGATGTAACTCTAATGGTTACATGGCCACCATCTCAAGGGTAATGGGACAGTCCTACTGCTATTTACTTGCATTTCTTCATCTTTCTCTGGCTCCCCCTGTTCAATATAATGTGACATTGCATTTATCTACTAGATTTCTTTCCCAATGTTTCTCCAGAAGCTCACGTGCAACCTTCTTTCATTTTATCCCCATAACAACCTATGACATAGGCTGGATTGAGAAAAAGTGACATTAATCTTTTAAGGAGGTATGTAGTTGCAACACCAGAGGACTTTGCTTATCTTGACATTTGTTTGGAGACAAATTCTGGCAAGCATAGTCCTTTCAGGAAATTCCTGACTTACTTTCTCCTTCAAAGTAAGGAAAGAGGAAAGCACAGAAGGATGAGCTATTCTTGACTTGATACTAACAAACAGAAAACATTTAGTTGAGGAAGTGGAGAGAGCAGGGATATTGGAAAGATGACCCTGATGCTTGAATACTTGAGTCTAGTAGAAACAAAAATTGAGAGGAGACAAACATGTATCCTGGACTTAGAAAAAACAACAGTTTTTAATAAACCCAGAGCAATGGTAAGTAAGATTCCATGCTAGCAGAAGCTAATGGGAAAAAGAACTCAAGATGGATGTGAATTCCTAAAGAAGGGGATACTAAAAGCAAAATTTGCAAATGATTCTAATGAGGATAGCCATAGCCAGTGTGGCTACACAAAACAACTAGTGAGGGCCTGAAAAAAAGGATTCATATAGGAAATGGAAAGAGGAACAAATCACAAAGGAAGGGTAGAAGCAGGTAGCCTGAGATTAAAGAGCTAATTTAATGAAAATAAAAACTCAGAATGCACTAACATTAGGAAGAATGCTAAGAATAATTTTAAAAGGTGTGTTTAGATACATTCTAAATAAAAGGAAAAGAATAAATATAACAAGCTGCTCAGTGAAGATGGTAAAAGATGATAAGAGATAAAGAAAAGGAGCAACGACCCAGCTTCTATTTTGGTTCAGTCTTCTTCTTCAACTCCAAACACTCCCCACCCCCACCCTAGCAAAAATGCATTCCACTGGGAAATTGGGAAAATCAGAATGGCAGGACTGATGTTCGTGACTAACAGAAACTTGATCTCCAGGGAAAGATAAAATACATCCCGGAACACTGAAAGAATGAACTCTTGGTCCGAATGAAACCTTATGTACTGTTTTTGAGAAATCTTGGAGAACTGATGAAGTGACAGATGATTGGAGTAGAACAAATGTCAGCCCAATGTTCAAAAAGAAAAAGAAGCTCCAGCAAACTACAAACCAGTCAACCTACACCAATATTTAGAAAGATTCTAGAGCAGATCATAAAAAGCTGGATCTGTAAGCACCATAAAAACATGGATTTGCCAAGAACAAGTTTCACAATATCAATTCCTTAGAATTGACATTCTTACCTTGTTTTTTGATTAATGCTGATCAGCAAGGTAGTTAAATGTGGGCTGGATGGCATGACAATTCAATAGGTGCATAGCTGCCTTGAAATTTGTATTCAGGCAATGTTCAGTATAACTCATACTCAGCCAGGTTGGCCTCATCAGACTGGAGACAGACACAGAGCAGGATGCCAAGAAAAAAATCAGTCCTGGGTCCTTTTTTTTCTAAGTATTAATGACTTGGATAAAAAGATGAAGAGAATAAGTGGGATAACTAATATCTTAGAAGACAGAACCAAAATTATAGAAAGAATGAAATTTACAGAGTGGACTTTTGAGATAAATGCAAAATTCTTTACTAGGGAAACAAAATCAAATGGACAGATATACTTGTTAAAAAGACCCTGGGATAGTAGTCGATTGTAAACTGAATACAATCGGCAGTGTGATATGGCTGAAAAAATGGCAAATACAATTTTAGACTCCATCAACAGAACCATATTTTTCATATTATGGGAAGTAGAACATTATTATTCCACCTGATGCTGCTTAATTCTTCACATCCCACCTCAAGGACTGTGTACGGCTCTGGATTCCACACTTTAAGAAGGATTCAAAGAAACTGAAATTGAAGTGATAATCAAACTAGAAAGCAAGTCTGGTGAAGAAAAACTGAAGGAACTTGGTATGCTTTGCCTTGAGAAAAGGTAACAGAGCTGAATATGGCAGCACTCTTCAAAAAACTGAAAAGCATATATATCACATAAAAGGAGTATTTTGATTTATATTCTGACTTTTTGCCTGCTCTTATGGTTGAATCATGAAAGAAGGGCTCCATATGTCAAGGAAACATCTTTCTGTATCTTTTGGACTCCCTGCTCTGACTTTATTTAAATATGTTTAATGAAACAAAGTTAAGAAAACTCACATCCTGCAAAGCAAAGCACTAACTTCAAGCTTAACAGTAATTTCCAGCAATGCCTCTGGACCCCACACAGATCTCAGCACCATCCTTGGAAACAAAATGAGGGGAGAGCTGCAGCCCTGTGTTTTCTTTGTATATGCATCTCCCTGCACCCCACCCGAAAAAACAAGGTAGTACAGATCACTGATCTTAATTTCCAGTTTCCTTTTGGATAAACGACTATTTGATAATTGGCCATGGCAGCTGTTTTGTGAAAGTACCCATCAGCCCAAATCCTCTCAAAATTCCAAAAGTCTGGGAACCCTTGGTTTACAGAGTAAAGCTGCATATACTGACGTTCTCCAAACTCACTTTTGATTGTTGGTTTGTCTTAGAACAGTCCATGTACCTCTCCACTCACAGGATCCAGATCAATGTCATAGAAACAAGGCCTAGTGGGAAGTCCTGGCATTGTGCTCATCTGGAATGAAAATAAAACTGGTTTGAAATACATGTTCCAAAAGTGCCTGGTAAAAAAGTGCCTGGTAATGGGGCAAAGAACCTAAACTCTTCCTTGCTGGCTTGCATCAGTCTTGAGCCCATTAGCTCCCTGGAACCATGTTTTATTCCAAGAAGGAAGCCCAGTAGCAAGAATTCAACTCCCCCTTTGGTTTGGGACTCAGTGCATCTGGGAAATGGTACACATGCACAATGCACACCTATGTCCATGCAGAATTTCATCATGACCATAATTTGCTTTGGTGCACCAAAAAGAAAAAGGTGTAGGTCTTTTTAGCACCGTCCACCAAGTAATGGGATACTTCCTGGGGAAGGCTGGGTTCGTCAGTCAAACTACAATTGGGTTTGCTCTGAACAAAGATATTGTACCCAAACTACAACTGAGTAAGCCAGAACAAACAAAAAAGATATTATGGTTTAATCCAATGTATGCCCCAAAGTCCACCAGAAAAGTCCACCAAGGTTCACATGAAAATAATAAGGTACTGAAATTTCATTTAGTCATCAAAGGACTGTCAATTCTCTAGCCTTCCAGCAAAAATTAAATTAAGATTTTCTCATTTATTACAAAATAGACCCTGGCTATTCTGAGGCTCTTTACACAATCATAATAATAAAATATGAGTGAATTTATCATCTCAGTCTCAGTTTTCTAGCTGTGAAAACTAAGGTGTCACCAAAATTGTAATAAAGGATTCTAAGATATTCTGAGCTTAAACTCTACCTTGTAAAACAGCCTTTCCCAGCTTGCTGCCCTCCAGAGACGATAGTCAGTGTTTCCCCAAAATACCCATGCTTTTCAGCCAATAAGGTCAAATGGCAGGCTAGTTGAGGTTATGGAAGTCCAATACATCTGGAGCATGGCACTTAAGAAAGGCTGCTGTAACACAACTGACACAAGAACCGCCTTGCTGGATCAGACTAAACCTATCTGTCTACCATCTTTACTACTTGCATTGATCAAGCAAATGGCTCTGGGAAACCCAAAAGCGAGAAATGAGGGCCAAATGAATCCCCCTACACGTTTCCTAGCAATTAGCAATAACAGGTCTGATTCCAGGCTTTCTGGCTACTGGCTATAGATGGTCTCATCACACTCTGTGAGTCTGCCTTATCTTTTTTTATATACAATTTTAATTGAGAAATGATTTTATACAGAATTAAAAACTGCGGAAATGTAAAGAAAAAAATTAGAAGAAAGAAAAAAATATGAAGAGATGAAAGGTGAGAAACAGTAAAAGTCAAGGAAAGAGAGGAAAAAGGAGAAAGAAAAAGGAAAATATCTATAGAAGCGACTTCTGTTCTTTGCAGCAGTTACAAACATGGTTATTATAATTTCCACCCTCCCAAATTACATATCATGGTTCCCTTCTTCCCATAAACTATCCTTTTTAATCCGTAAATCCCAAGATCATCAATTCATTTTTGTCCATTTTCAGTAAAAAGTCCATAAAGGATTTCCAGTCTTTTATAAAAGTAGTTATTATTCCTAATCAGACAAGTCAATTTAACTATTTCAGCAAGTTCTGCCATCTTCATAGTCCACTCCTCCATTGTGGGTATTTCTGTATTTTTCCATCTTTGTGCATATAGTAGCCTCACTGCAGTTACCATATACAAAACCAATCGTCCATGAGTCTTTTCTAGTTGACTATCCATAAGTCCTAGTAAAAAAAGCTCTGGTTTCAACTGAAAATTAAGTTTTAAAATTCTCTGCATCATCGTACATATTTGTATCCAGGTTTTTTTGCTGTTTTGCAAGTCCACCATGCATGGTAAAATGTCCCTTCATGCTTTTCACATTTCCAGCAATAGTTAGAAGTACCTTTATACATCTTGGATACATCATTTTATAGAAATTTTCTCTTAAATTATAAGACAATGTGAATTTCAGTCCTTTTAACCATGTTCTTTCCCATTAATCCATCTGTACCAAAATTCTTAGCCCATTTTGTCATGCATCTTTAACTTGTTCTTCTATTTCAAATCTCAACAATAAGATTTTACATGATAATTATTTGTACATAATTCCCTTTCAAATTGTTACATGTTGTTCTATACCTGGTAACTATTTCTCCATATTAAACCTCTCCCTTAATTGTACATATGAAAACCATTGAAAAGTAAATCCTTTGGCGGTCAGTTGTTCTCTTGATTTCATCTTAAGTTCTCCATTTTCCTGTACTAGCAAGTCTTTACATTTTAACCATTTTTCTTTGTCTGCTGTTTCTTTTCTGTAAAACGCTTTTTAGGCTGAGACCCACAAAAGTTCTTTCGGACATAGCCTGGGTTTGTATCTATTCCATATTCATAATATGGCATTCCTAATATGGTGATTTCTGAAGTCTAGATTTATTTTAACTTCATCATACCATAAAAATCCATGCCACCCAAACCTCAGGCCATGGCTTCCAATTCTAACAATCTCTTATTTTTTAACAACAGCCATTCCTTCATCCAAACCAAACAGCAGGCAGCAAAATACAATTTAAAATCAGGCAATCCCAGTCCTCCTCTTTCCTTTGCATCTTGGAGGATCTTATATTTGACCTTTAGTTTCTTCCCCTGCTGTATAAATCTGGATATATCTTTTTGCCATTGTTTAAAGGGTACATCATTTCTCAAAAAAATCTTTCAAGTTCTTCTTGCATTCCTCCATTATTGATTCTTTTTGTAATAATATTTCATTTAATCTCCATCTATAAGTTCTGACTTTCTTCTTGTATGTTAAAGTCATTGGATGCTTCAGTCTTAGTTTTGAGGATTTCCACTTTTTGCCTGAATTTGTTTGACCTCATCTTTAATCTGTATGACAGATTCAATTTTTTTTTAATTCATTCTTTCCTCCAAATTCACCATTTTTTCCTGTAAGGATGCTGTCACAGCTGTGACAGTCTTTCCCATTTCTTCAAACATCCTCTGTAAAATCTCAGGTGTAATCCCAGCAGATTGGTCAGTCAACAATCCTCTCCTCCCTTCTTTTGCTGCTTTTCTAGCAGTAGCCATCTTTCTCTGTCTTAGTTTATAGTTCAGAATGGAGAAACATAAAAAAAGCAAAGCTTTAGCTATTTTTTTCTTTTTCATAATTCTGCAATCTGTGCACTTTTACAATGGTCCCTTAAGCTCTCTGTATTTCTACTCTCTATGCAATCTCTGCACTTCTACAATGATCCTTGTCTTTTTTGTTTAAAAAGGTCTATCAGTCATTTTCTTCAGAGAACCCAAACAAAGCACTTTCCCATGAAGGTACGTACTATTTATTTAATTAATTCAAAGGAATTTAGAGTAAACAAAGCCCAAAAAACACCACTGGTCCCTTTGTCCATTCAAAAACTTTTATAATCGAAGTTCTTAATATGCTTTTTGCTGCAAGTTAATTTTGAAATTCTTGTAATTTTTCCTTCTCTATTAATCATGCCATGGGCTGTAGGAACACTCACCGGGTAGTCCATTTAAACTGCTGCTTTGAAGATCTCTTTTAGCTTATAAATAATTATAATCTAAAGTGATTTAGAAAGTGGAAATTGGTCAGACCCAATGTCCATTAAAGGCTCCACTGAGGCTGCAAATCTGATTTCCTCCCCCAGCTCCTGGCACTCTACTGGTGAGGTGTCTGCAGAGTCCCTCCAGGTTCTGCAGGCTTCCTCACCTGCCTTCTGGAGCATATGTAGGTGATCTCTTCAACTTCTTCTTGTCCAGAGAAGCTCCAGTGGTCTGGGCTTATCACCTGGTCGTGGTTCCAGCCTTGGCGGCATCTCCACAATTTCAGAGACGCGTCAGTCCACCATTTTCTACACCCGGAAGCCTGTGAGTCTGCCTTATCAACTTCTGAGGCTATTCATATTTGTGGTTATTATAAGGTGCTTCACTGTTTCACTAGGCACTGTATGAAGACAGTTCTATTGAGTTGTTCTGCATTTTTCATCGATCAACTTCAATGGATGACTCCAGGTTTTGATATTATGAGGAAGAAAAACTTCCCTTTTACTTCCTACCAACTTGGCACAATCTTGATAGGCATCCATCATGTTCTCCCTTATTTGCACTTAAAAAACAGATAGCCACCATTACTCTTATTCCCATTTTCAAAGAGATTGATTAGGTGGAGGCACAACAACTTGGTCAGTTATGAAAGATAAATTATATTTACTGAGATATAGTCCCCTGTTTTCAAGATATACTCTAGTAGCATAGTCTTAAAGCAAAACAGAACTGCAGAGTAGATACAGTGGGGCAAAAAAGTATTTAGTCAGCCACCAATTGTACAAGTTCTCCCACTT